TCTTGGAGTCGAGTCCAGAACCACTTCGAGTCATCGTTTTTGGTCACCGGAGGTGTCTTCGGCTTGTCTTTGGTTTCTTCACTCATTGTATTAATTATTCCTATCTTTTATTCAACTGATAGTCTGAATAACTGATAAATTAATTGAATTTATGATTTCTAAAATGATAGCGCGCCCTAACAATTGCCTTAAATCTCCGCAATTATCGTAATCTTAATCAACAGATTGTACTCTAAAATTATAAGATAAACTTTTTCGACACTAAATATTGATAATAATCATATGCAGTGACAAAATCTATGTTTGTCTATGATAACACGTAAAAGTTGTTACCATTTGATTTTCAACCGGACAATATTTCATTATTGGACAAATTTATACCGTATTAAACTAATAACATATAATTATTACATTATATAATAAATATAATCAAATTTGTAATTTATAAATTTTTATTTTAATCACTTTTATTTGGAATATACAGCATATATTAATAAACTAAAATAAAAAGCTGTTCAACAATATAGTTATCCACTCCGTCAATAATCTTAAAAATAAAAGTATAGTTAATTGAATATCAATTCGTTTTCCATATTTGTCACTTTTCATATAATTAAAAATAAATACTATTTTGACTATTTTCACGATTCATTCAACAACACGGAATGCAACAAATAAAGCAAGAATTGGGAGTCAATACAAGTTATTACTGATTACTAATGAGCACAACATAGGAAAGGGTTATTCAGATTAATACATCGAAACAATATTTAAATCTGCAAAATAAATAATTAATACTCAATTTGATTAAGAATTTAATTTCATAACTAGATTTATAACACTTATATAGTTGAGTTACACCTGTAAGCTCTCTCTCCTCCTCTTATCAATATTTACTCATTTTATTCCTATTATTAAAATAAAATTTAAATTACATTTGTTTTGGAAAACAATAATTAAATCCCATTAACGGCTATTATTAGTATTAGAGACAAAAAACTTGAGATGAAAAATTAAATTATTTTCACTATAGATATAAGTTATTAAATAAATACACTAAAGATTATATTATATTATAAATTCAATTCAAATCTCGCATTCTTTGTCCCCAATAATCAATCTTTTTATGTTTGTCTTTACAAAACAATACAAACAGTAGAAACATTTAGAAACACATTATATAATCGATTATATATATACCTGAATATACTGCACGTAATCGCAGTATAATTAATATATTAAATAATAAATATAAGTTATAAAAAGGGGAATCCAATGGAAAAATGTGTAAAATTGGAGACTAATTGTCGGTATAATTACTGAAATCGACTTTCAATTTGATGGTTGGGTTCTCCTTTTGGGAGACGTTTTGCGATGAATTTTGTACGGAATGCTCACTCATTTGTTGCTGATTTCTGATGGCATTCTCCAGACTGTTGCGAAACTTCGGCACAGAACCGATCACTTGCCGGAACTCATGCGGATATTTGGGTCCAATGGCTGTCAACTTCTGGAGCGCGTAGTTATGGAGATTACGTCGATAGCCGCGGATCCGACTCATACTCTCGTCAGATAACAGAGTCACCAAAAGTGGCAAATATATGATCAGAATATTGGCTTCTATAGGATAATCAAAACACAAAAGATTACAAATATTTTCAAAGCATTCAGCAATCAGTAAAACAACTACTTTTGTCTTGTTGTGCCATTTCTATGAGCACTTCCAGCGTTTGGAATAACTCTAAGACTATTTCACACTCCATTTGACTTATGATATCATTTGTTTTGATATATTTAACCAAATTGTTGAGCACTTCTATCATTCGCGGCGCCAGGATATGGATATAAGGGACGGACACTTTGCTGTTCGAGTGTTCAAATATCGCTCGTATAGTCTGAATACACTTTAACTGAACCTAAAATTCCAAACAAATTTTAGACATCATTTAAATATCGTACAGAACCTTAAAACCGACCACTTTTTTATCACTTTGAAGCGATTGCTTTAACAGATTAATAGCTGGATATTGAAGGTTAGGCACCTGTACCACATCGGACGGCGCTTTTATTATGAATATTCCGACCGCCAGTAGAGTGGTTATCTCATCGGGTTTTGGTTCATCCGAATCGCCTATAATTGAAATCAAATAATAAATTATAAAAGTCTGTGAATGCTATACCATTAAATCTAATATAAATATAAGTAAATAATAAAAACGATTCATTACCACAACTATTGGTCCAAACTATTAGTTTGCATTAAACGCAAAACAAAACTAAGTTATAATCAACTGAAAGTGAATTGAATGAAAGGCGAGACTCACTTGTCTTACATAAGTCGAGAATGACAGCCAAAGTGCTCTGCAATAATTCCGTCCACTTTTGGCCACAAATACTGTTCTTCGCCAAAGAGGACGAGCCCAACGATCGCAGACAACTCAGGACTGTAGATATGGGCTGATTGTCGGCAATAGACTCTCCATTGGGTTGTGTCGCCGACTCTCTTAGAACTCCGGTCACTAAATATAGTATTGACGGCAATATAACAGTACTTCCTTTTGGCGAACAAAGTAGCGGTAAATCACATAATATATGGAGCGCTCGACCGATAAGTTCTGCCGAGTCTTTGGTTAATCTCGAATTACTGCTCTTCGGGACGATTAGCGATAGACCCGGAGTATTGGCCAGCATTGGACTCAATTGCGGCAATTGTCGCACTAATACACACAAACCCACTTCGAGCAGAGCGTAGACCAGTGACTGTCCGGGTATTATATCGCCTGACTCTCCGCCCTCTCCCAGAGTGGCCAACGCTTTATCACTGTCTTCGGGCTCCTGATTAGCCGGCGCTAACTCCCGAAGCTTTCGCTTCTTTTCATTATCCAAATACTTAAGCTGCGATTGAGTGACAATTTGCGCGATATTTAGGATCAGTAGCTGACACTCAGGCGTTTCGCGCGTCAGCAGCAGTCGATGCAAAACATTACACAACTCTATGGATAACTGTTTGTCTTTTCCTAACAACGTCTCCGGAAAGGGATGACAAATGAGTTGCTGTAGAGATTTGAGACAAACAACGACATAAGACAGCGGTTCCGTGGACTTGGGATTACATAAAGCCTCCAAACATATGCCAAATAACAGATGGAAGCGCTCTTCGTTTGAATTTGACTCAGCGTTTACTTCAAAGCCATTACTGCAGAGCCAGAGGGCGGCCGCGTGTAGTATCGGAGGCCACGACGCCCTATACCGCGGTCTCGCAATCTCTATGGTGTCCGACGTATAGAAGGCGCCGCCGTCGTGGGGCAGTTGACTCGAGAACTCAGTGGGAAGTGTGAGCAACGCGTGATCCTTGAGAGCCGCCAACCAGTGTTTACTCAAAGACGGCAACTCCGGTGCAACCAATTGAAGCAAACTCTCGTTATTGGAGTCGACGTCCATTTCTTTGTCGTTTTCATCACTAATGTCTTCAGAATTGGTCACATTCTGAGCCATTGACACGACATACACTTCAGCCCAAGCCTTGAGAATCGCCAACTTTTCGATGGTGGAGGCGCTCTCGTTGTAGAGCCGCGAACTCGAGTCCTTTTGGAGTTTAGCCAAAGAGGAGACCAACAACTGATTGACTCGACGCAAGTCATTGAGATCCCGGGCGACACCACTTCCAATCCAAGCGCTGCACACTTGACACGCCATAGCTGTCACGTGTGATGGCGTGTCTGCCGAAAAGGCTGGTCTGAGTGCTGCGCCTACCTGTGCCTGATATTGCTCTAGTATGACGTGATCGGGGAACTCAGGTTCGGGTACTTTCGAGAACTTATCGATAATGAGTTGCAATGCTTTCAAGCCTTCCATACGAAGGGCGTCGCTATCACTGGTCGCTGCCATGAATGCCATACGAATCAAATCAGACAAATGGAGAACCAGAAAGTCTTCGGTGCCGGCGCTCACACCACGTCTATCGCGAGCAATCGAGAGGTCAAAGTGAGTGTCACTATTGGAAGCGTTTTCACACGAATTTATAATTCGGCACAACGTTTGGGTTGTGAAGACTCGGGTCAACCATCGCGGAGATATTGGCGGATGTGTTGAGGGCTCTTCGCCGGCTCTGAAGCGCTCCTCGACGTCAACCAACTCGTCATTGTCTCCATCCATGTCTTTATCAGGTGAGGGAAGCGCTGAATTGGGATCGGCTGCTGTTAACACTTCTCTGCACAGACTTAGCCATTGATTTAAACTTTCTGAGCCCATGGTCTGCACTAAGCTGTGCACTATTTTGTGGATATTATTCACAGTTATCTCATCCTTTTCGTAGTCCAACATAGAGACCAACATTCCGGACAACCCGTGATCGCCAACCACTGAACTGTTAAACAATTTCTTAAAGTTGTCGTTCTTTGAGTCCTTAGTCCACATATAGACGTGTTCTGAGACTTCTTTAGCTTCTCGTTGCGACAACTGATGCAAACACGCGACAGAAGCGCGTCTTAACATGAGATGCGGACTCCGTATGGCTTCGCAAAGCACTGGAACCAATGACGAGAGGTTGACGTGTTTGGGCGCAAACATATGCAGCTGTTGGAGACACCCGATGGCCTCCGCCTGAACCATGAAGTCGTCGTGTTCTTGCATTATAGCGCACGCAATCAGTAGCGAAGATCTCGTCGCACAGATTGAGTTCGTATTGGTCTGCAGTTCGGGTCCTATTGTGGTGATCATTGCCGACAAACATTTCCCGATACATTGATGGACATCACAGTAAGACATCGGCACCAGAAGTAATAGTTTGAGACAATGCGAGAGCGTTGGCTCGACGTACGAGCGAAACATTGGTCCGCCCGAGTCGGCTATCAGAGTCAACGCGTGCAGCGCCCAAACCTGGACCGTGGCGTTGGACATGTCCTGAGCCAACGCTAATAAGATGCTAATACTTGTGTTCAAGTGCTGACTCGACCCCAAACCGCCGACATATCGATGAATGCAACCCAACGCCAGCGAATGGCCAGTCCTCGAGAGCGCATCCCTCGCACTCTTCAACTTATCGAAGCATTGCTGAGCCATCTCTGCCACAAATCTCCCGTCATTTATCACTTGACAACATCGGCCTAAGCTCTCGGATGAGGCACACCTTAGCAATGGATTCGAGTGACTCATCGAATGGAGGGTCAGGTTAACCATCAGTGTCTTCAACTCGTCGTTTCCTAAACTCATTTTGTTTTCCGACAAAACCTGACATCAAATACAACAACATTAGGACTATTTAAACAAATCCCAACAGTATGTCAATTATCACATGCCTTAAGAGCGCCTAAAATAGCTGTCAATATATTGATTTGGATGGCCTCCTGACGCGTCCCCTTATGTTGTTTAAGACATTCGTGAAAATGTTTCAACATCTGAGTCCTATGTTTGATGGCCACGTATGGGAATACGTGCGAAAAGACGAGCGCAGACTTGTCTATAACGGCCACTCCTAATGGCAACGGACCGGGAACTGTATTCTCAACGGGGAGTGACTTATAAAGATGTGTCGAGTCGTGTTCTATAGCACCGAAACCGGAAGTGTTTGGCTGCAACTGTTTGGACACAAATGTATTCGTGATTAAAATCATTGAATTCCTAACAACTTTTAAAAGTATAAATTCTTATAGAAATGAGTTTATAATGAGAGTGAGAGTCGACTCACAAACTCTTTCTCCAGTTTTCTATTCGGTTCCATCTTTTTGAAGCATTAATTAATAGAAAATTAGTTTCAAAGTTAGAAAAGTTAATAAACAGAGATTTAGCGAAACTACGGTTCAATACCTGGTCCTCAATGGCTTTGTGGTCAGTCTCCTGAAGCCATGAGCCGAGTATAGTGTCGTCGTCTGAATGACAGAAACTCCTGAGCAGAGAGCTGGTAGTGATGGCCACGCTTTCCATTAACGTAAATTCTGACACTAGAAGTCTCAACAAATTCGTATAGCAATTGGAGTACGATTGCGGCGGTATTAACAGCAGTGTCTCGTATAGCCTGAGCCTAACGGTGGCAGAGCTGGCCTTTACTGAAGGGCCGTAACCTTTAAACACAGGACCCAAAGCGGCTAACATAGTGAGCGCCGACTCGATGGGTGTCAGTAATCTGCGCTTCACTTCATCGGTGGCTAATTTGTCGCAATGCGTCAAAAAGCTGGTCATCGCCGACAGAGCGCCGGCTCTATTCTCGAGGGTGATGTGCCACGTGAAGGCGTCCCCCCGAGCCTTCTCGGACTCGAGCTCTTTCGGTGAGCGCGGGAACGAGTTCTTCCATAACAACAACAGTCGCGGCAAAAGCCCTTTAATCACAGGCGGACCTAATGTCATGACAGCGCCGATCAGTAGCCAACCCGCTTGTGTCCTCTGAAGTGATAACCGGCTGTTTTGTGACGCACTTCGCAGTAAGTCCTCCGCGATATTGAATATGAGTTTTCCCTTATTGTGAGGAATGCCTAACGGTGTCTGACATACGGACCCCAACAGCGCCGACAAAGCGTATGAGTGGCCGTTAATTATCTCAGGATTTGATTTCAAAGTCTCCAGTCTTTCGAGTGAGCGCTCAATAAGTGGAGTGAGTTGTGAGGGCGCGGCCACTGCTATACACCGGAGACACCACGAGGCGGACAGTCGCGCACAGTTGGACGGGTGGACCACAATGGATGCTATGGTGTCCACCAGCCCTACGTGTGGGTCAGTGACTACTGTTATGCAAGAAGTGCCCAAACCTTCGATAAGACAACCCATTTCGAGGAGAGCGCAGACCAATACGTGTTGAATGAGCTGTAGATCGGTTTGAGCCGAGTCTTTGGCATTTGTGGCACTACTGGACGTGCCGTTGCTTTTATCGGAATTGTTTTCATTGGCGTTGGCGTTGAGGTAACGATTCAACACATTCACCAACTCCTTGATGGCCTGCAACTGTGCCTTTTCGCTTAGCTGTCGGCCTAACACTGATCTCAACACAAACGCCACACACTTTCGACTGTAGACGGCGTCCATGTGTGAAGTGATTGCCTTCGGGTTGGCCAACAAATCGAGCAAATGCTGCAAAAACACAGACATATTCCTCTCCAACCAGACGGAGCCCAACACCGACACCACCACCACATAGGCGTGAGTGACGCCCACACGAGTCTCGCGGCTAACAGTCACGCCTTTAATCATCTCTCCGCCACTCTTCAGGAAACCAATGCCTCCCCTCAGGAAACCGGAGGCCAACAGGTTTAGCGCCTCATCCAATGAGACCACACGAACTGTTTTGCTGGACTGTTGCGGCAGATGTGGTGATGGCTGTTGTGTTTGTGCGACTAAAGTGCCCAACACTTGGGCCACAGAACAGCGCACCTCATAGTTAGAGCCCTCCAGAGCTCGGAAACAGACGGAGAATACGTTTTCCAATTCGGAAGTATAGAGGAAAGGCGCGCAACTCAGCATTTTGTGCAGACATTTGGCGGCACTACTCCTCACTATCATCGCCCGGTCAGTCATCCCTAGTTTGACCGACTTATACACGTCCCGGTGCACAGAATTGGCCGCATTTCCCATTCCGGCCACAATCCTCTCTAATGTCGTGTATATCTCACACCGGGTTTGGGACTGAAAGACATCGTTATTATAAGACACCGGTCATCACAACACAGACAATACAATCCATTGCATACCTCAGCGCTTTTGATGGACTTAAGCAACAGCTGAACCGTATCCTCGTAGGAACGGCCCATAAGTCGCCCCAACTTCTCATACATTGTTCCCAAACAAGTGATCGCAGCTCTAAATCCATACATAATTGAGACACAAATTAGACACAAATTAAACACAAATCACAACAAAAGAGCGATAATTTTGACAGAATTTAAGACAAAAACATTGAATTAAAGAGAAAATAAAAGCCAAACATTTATATCAACTAAAGAGTGAAATGAAGGGATTGGACGCCAAATGGCAGACAATTATCTCACAGTTTGATGGGTCGAAAGGATGGCGAGTCGTCCTTATTCTTGAGGATATCGTTACACTTATTGATGGCTTCAAAGAGGAGGAATGTGTCGCCGACGGTGAACAGAGTGGACAGACACCGGGCGATGAGGCGTCTGGTGGGCGGACCCGACGGCTCATTGATCTGAGCGATGAGTTGGTCCATCAGTTTCTTCTGACACTCTTTGATGTCGGTCTGTAAACAAGAAAAACAAACACAGCTATGAATACGCCGCTCATGACTCGTCACCACCCGCACCACCGATGAGCCCATTATCACCTTTTGTGCGCCAAGAAGTGACTGCTCGACAAAGCGAAGCCATTCGAAGATAAATATGGGCTTCTTCTGGTCGCTCAGACTCCTGAGGACCTCCTCATTGAGGACCAGATTGTGGGTGAAGTCCATGTCGTGTATGTGTGCGACGACTGCTGCTGTTGTTGTCGTTGTCGTCACCACAACCACCAACTCGTCCACTGATTGCTGACTCACTGATCGGATAATTGGTGACAAAGCGAGTGACAAACCATTGGCTCAACGGTTGAACAACTCTTGGCGTTGAGAAGTTCAACAAATCGTCCCCAAAACACGTCCACTAATAACGTGACAATCGGTGAACCATTTGTCGCACAAATCACTCGCGAATTACAACACTATCGCAAGCATTGAGTCAATGAATGCAATGACTTCACTGGAAACTAGTGTTGAAACGAGTGCTCAGCCAATGAGCGCACAGCATATCATTGCAAATGTTGTTGTGTTTCGCGAAACACATGGTTTGACACAAACGAGACATGAAAACAGACACTGAATTAGCCACCGAACCAGTGATGGACGCCATGGAAGCGATGGACACGACCGAAGTGCGCGAACAGATCCAGTCGGTGGTGCTCTCGAACCTGAGCCGTAGCGACGGCTCGTCTCTGTACTCCTTCGGCGATACTGTGGTCCAGACGTCGGTCTTCGGGCCCACCGAATGTCATCAGAGCAAAGAGGATCCCATCAGAACCGCACTCACCGTCTGTTACCGACGACTCATCCGCAACGCCAACAGAGGTAACCATCGGTTAGGTATTGACCACTCATTTCACTGACACTCACGTCTTCGGCCATTCAGACGACCCGCAGACCAAAGCCATCGAGCGGTTCATTGAGAGCAACGTCTCATCCATACTGTACTCACGACTCCATCCGCGCACTCTTCTGACGATTATCTTACAGGAGATGCAGAACAGCGGCTCATTCGTGGCCTCAGCTCTCAATGGCGTCTGTTTCGCATTACTCGACTCCGGGTTCCCTCTCAAGTGTCTGTTGGCTGCCGTCGAGGCCATTGTGACCACCGATGGCCACGTGATTGTGAACGCGTCGGACACCGATAGGGAGAGCGCGGCTGCGGTCGTCACTGTAGTCTTCGAGAGCACGCAATCCAAAGTGGTTTCCATCGCCAGTGACGGCAACCTATCGTTCACTCAATTGCAACAAATCATCACTTCTTGCAAAGAAAGCGCACAAAAAATATTCACTTTTTATAGAAATTCAATACAAAAGCGTTTCGATAAGGATTTGAATCATTTGATCGATAATAATGTTTAATTGTATTCAATATATTGTGACAATAATTACATTATTTTTCAATTGCTTTTCATTTTTCGGTCAAAACTGTTTCACTGACCTATGCTTTCAGTGATAACTCTTCGCGCAAAGAGTTAATACATTTGGACAACAAAACCAAATACCGCTCAAAAACTGGACATCAAAAGTACAAAACCATTGAATGGCTGAACAAATTGTCGGACACCAGAGGAACAACTTTTGAACGCATCTCACTATTCAGTCACAAGACTTGAGTGCCTCTGCCTCTTGAGACTCATGGCTCACACCTTGATCTTTGAGCTCAGGGACACTTTCGATGGACACAACAATCTGTTTGAATTGATGAGTACCACTCACATGAAGCGTGAACTGAGCCCAACCGCGGAACAGTTGGTCACAAGTGTGGCAACGAATGCATGTCTGGTCAGTGGTCTGAGTGGATGGTCCGCCACTTGTCGATGGGTTGGCGTCGGGTGTGAGTCGACGTGCCTTTCGCTTACGCTTTCGCGACAACTCGATGTTCGCCATCTCATCCGTCATATGAGCCAAAGTCCGCCACTGAGTCCCCAGTAGTTCCAGTCGTTGAGCCCATTCTTCGTCGGCGTCGAGTGCGGACACATCTATCGACTCGGAAGCGATGGAACTGTTATTGAGGTTAATATTTCTGGTGATAAAGTCGTTCATATCTGTCAGAGTGTGCGATATCTTCTTGAAGTGTTCGGTGATCAACACATCCCTAAGCAGTGAACGCCTGTCTTTGCTTCTTGTGGTCATCTTGGGGTCAATGGACTCAATGGACTCAATGGACGCATTCATCTCATCAGACAATCAGTCATTTAAATGACATTTCAATCAAAACATAAACAATGAGTCAATCGTTTGGACGTTATTTGTGACCAATATTTGAATTCTTGTGGCGATTGTCTCAACAATTGGATCATATGTTGAGGTCTTTGGATCAGTTGAGACACAACCCGGATGTGAGTCAAGTACTCGAAGACAAGACCAAACGTATCGCTCAACTCAAGAGGAGATTAACTCTCATTCACTCTATCGTTCAGAACTCCAACCAAAGGGTCGCCAAACTCTTCACCACTTGATGACAATGTCATGAATCAGACATTTAGTACACATTAGGTGTGGAAGCGATCAGTGATACTAAAGATGGTCAATACGATCGCGCATCTGATGTCCAGCTATCCATTCATTCATTACAGTTGCCTATCGTTTGTCACATTAATCATCAGTTTTCGTGTGTATTGTCAGCACTTTGTTTGGACCAAATGTGTGCCAAAGAACTCAATGAAAGGCAAGACTGTGGTCATCACCGGCGCCAACAGCGGTGTCGGCAAAGAGACGGCCAGAGAGTTGGCTCTGAAAGGGGCCAGAGTTGTGATGGGCTGTCGGGACAGACACTCAGCCCAACAGCTCATCCAACAGATGAACAAAGACTTGGCGTTTAAGCCAAACATTGTCTACAAAAACATCGATTTGTGTTCATTCGCTTCCGTCAAAGAGTTCGCCGAAGACATCATTCAAAACGAGAGGTCCGTCGATATACTGATCAACAACGCGGCGGTCTTTGGGCCGCCCTTTGCACTCACTGTCGATGGCTTCGAGAGTCAGTTCCAGACCAATCACTTGAGCAGTGCTTTACTTACTCTGTTATTGTCACCAAAACTGCAGACATCGTCTCAGATGTCTTCGCATAGAAGTCGTGTCCTTATGATTACATCAACTCTTTATCGCAAAGGAGTTATAGATGAAAATGATTTCAAGAAAGGGTATAATTTTGGTTACGATTTATGAACAAATAACTGATTCTTATATCAATGCCATCAGATATGCATCGCTTGACAATTACGATAAGAGGAAAGCCTATAATAACAGCAAATTAGCGAATATTTTGTTCGCGCGAAGGCTTCACAAGAATATAGTGTCTGACAATCAGTTGATTGACGTATTGATAGCCAGTCCGGGCATTGTATGGACTAATTTGGGTCGACATCTAATGCTGAAGTGGTGGCAAAAGTGTGTCCTTTTGCCGTTTGCTGTGATGTTTGTGCGGACACCAAAACAAGGCGCTCAGACACCCGTCCACTGCACCACCGCTCAGTCTATAACTTCTGACTCATTGTATCGGAACTGCTGTCCACAAGAATGGGATGCAATTGTTTCCGATTCAGTGCTTTCCGATAAAGTCTATGAACTCACGATTAAGGCGATTGAAAATTATCTCAAATAAAGTTTTAGTTTAGTCTCGCGTTTAGTGTAAAATAACTGACTGTATGCTAAGCATTGGGACGCGAGTGTCGAATAAAGTGTTTATTAAATCACGAGATTTTGAATCAATTATTTCTCATTCAAATTATACCGGTTTTTGTATTTGTATCACAAATTGTTAAATTTATGATTTCAATTGATGTCAAACATAGCAATAATTCACTATTGAGACAATGGGAAGCTTTTTTGACATGAATTTTGTCCCAATGCTGATAATCCTCGGGATGTGGGTTGTGATCATAGTATTGCTGTTATTGTCGAACATGTACTCTCATAAGGATGTGCTCCAGACATACGATAAGTGCGAACCACGTGATGTCAAATTCAGATATTTAGTGAGACTTGTCATGAAACCTGTCACCAGTGATGACCCAAAGTTCTACAATCACACCATAACCGCCAGAGTCCATGACAGCAGACAGATCTATGTGAACACATTTACTCTGAGAATGACAACCCTTTCAGGAATTCCTGATTTGAAGAAACAAAAGCGAGTTATGATTAGAATGATTGCCAACAGAAAGACTCAGATCAGAAATTTTCATACAGTTATGATCGACACGTCTGCCACCGAAGAGGCCATTCATGTGCACCATTTGGACATCATTTGCATCGAAGAGAGGGTCCGTTATTACACGAAAATTAAAACCCAAATCACACCCCAGGGTCCCCTCAAAGTCAACGAAAAACAGCGTTTTCTCTTAAAACGAGTTGAATGGAGGGGTGAACCAGAAGATGACATCCAAGTGTTCAAAGAGATAGAGTTCAACGAAATGCTGGTCTTCTTCTACATGTCATTCAATGTGTTGCTTATATTGGACGCCATTTTCATCTTAAGCCGTACTGTAGTGGTCACAACCCCTCCCCTCTCAATGTTAGCCGCATTTCTCATTGAGATGGTGGTCCTGTTTATCTACCGGTTCATTATTAAAGTGAAATACTTTAAGAACTACGGGTCCGAGAAGTGGACGGCTGTCTGTCTGCTATATCTGATCATATGTTTCGTGGTGGGCGTCATCTGCGGCACAGTTATGGTCTTTTTACTCGTCGATAGAGAATACTATGGCTTTAATGCACTCATATTTTATAGCATCGGTATTCATTTGGTTCTCAACGTCTTGTTTCTCGTAGTGTGCTATACATTCAGAACAACCGTTTTTGTCTCAATCGGACAATTGAGAAAAGCCAGAGAGGGATCGGTAGGTCTCACTCAAGCACCCTCTCCTCCATCACTCCAATCTAATCAATCAATTCTACAATAATCTCATTTTATAGTCATTTTCATCTCTCAATTCTTTATATAATTCTTTAATTCTAAATAATTCAATAATTCTTGGGTTACTATTCATAAAAATACTGTATATTCACTCTAATATTACCCGTAATTATATTATTCATGATTTACCACAAGTTCTTAGTTTTTGGTTTAAAACCTCATAATCATTATATTATATCATAAATGACTTATAAAATCAGATTTTAATGATATAATCATTTTAATGGTTATATTAGACTTTGCAATCAGAATCACATTTAATCGCATTATTGCTTTAAATGGCAAATAATTACAAACTATTATATAATACGAGAATAAAATATAGTATCAAAAGTGAGAGACATTTGAAGCGAAAGTGAGACAAAAACTAATCAAATGAACGCATAATCAGAAAATATCAGCAAAAATGTTTGAATAACTTATAATTACATCTAATCTATGATAGTATTACTGAAACCACTAATTATCGAAAAATCAATTTAAATCTAATCGTCAAAAACCAAACGAATTATGTCTTGCTTTCAGTGGACTTCTGTTCACCGCTTCCCTCACCACTCGTCACATCTTTACCACCAATTGGCTCAATAGCCTTCTGAAGGCTATCACCAGCAGCTGATCCGTCATCGGGGAAGGGCTGGTCATCGGCTGTGGACGAGTTGTTGGGGTAGAGGTTGGGGTATTGGGTCATACAGTCCTGCATTTGGGCGAACTTCTCGATACATTCGGATCCCTTGGTCTCGGCCTCCGAGTAATGGAAACAACTGAAGGCCTCCCGGAACTGGTAGCCACAGGGGCCGGACGCCATACCCCCCAGACACGGACAGTTCCAGTTGATGGACCCGTCCTCCAGGATCAGCCCTCTCATGGACGCGTCCCGGGGCTCGTCGCCCAACTCGACCGTCGAGGGCGTCGAGTGATCCTCCTTGGTGGCGAAGATTATGCGATCCTTTCCTATCTGTTGGCAGTAAGACATGTCTCGGGCTTGGGATCCGTTTCAGTGATGATTAGCGTAAGACTGACCGCACATTCACTGGCGTTCATACAGTTATCACATGTTTTGCACAGCGTTTCATCATTTTCTGCACCAAATTGTATTCAAATCATTGGTTCGCTCAGTAATTACGGCAACAAAGCAGTCGTCCCTTTGTTTTATGTTTGCATTGTATTCAATGGGAACTCAATATTATCCCCGTTATTAATGATTTACGTTATTTACGGACGAATTTATTTAAATGTTTTACAGTTATATGTGTGCCATCTATTGGGGGTTTTTGTTTTTATAAAGTTTAAGTTTAATAAACTATTTAACTGTAAAACATAATTATCATATTAAATTCTGTATTAATTTTAATTTTGAATATAATTTAATTTTGATAATACATCATATCATACATAATTGTAATTTTAATTGCTGTAAACAATTTAACGCTAATGTTTTCTAACGTTTAAACTTTTACTAATAATTTATTAAATGCTAACAAATTATAATATTCTGTGACATAATTGTTAATTAAATTATAAATTATGATTTTACTAATGTTTAAAAATTAAAAATTTTATGAATTATAATTTGAAATGGGCATTTAATACTAACTTAGGTAATAGTAACAGTAATTTAAATCATTTCTTTAAATGTTCCCTAATGAAATTATTTTGATTTTTATAAAACTTTTTATTGTAATCTTAATTTACCTGGATAATATTTTAGCACCATAGAAATCATAGGATTATTATTATTTTAAACCCATTAAAAAATTTAGAAATAAATTAGTTTATAAAATAAGTTATAATAAATTGTTTTACAAAATAAAACCAGTTTTGACACAAAAAGGATTTCCTATTATTTAAAAATGTGTTTAATGTATAAAACAGTTATATGATAAAACAGTTCATATCATTTGATTTGTGTTTTAAAAATATAAATTTAATAAATGGGTGAAAATCAGTCAAAATTAAAGCCTTAGTGTCTGAGAAATACGGAAACGTATAATAAAAGAGCATTTATTGACTAAAAATTGACTGATTATTATATTTATATGCAAATCAACATCAAACACTTTTTCTGTTTTTTATAACTTATAAAAATATTTTGTTACTTGCTAAGCATTGGGACGCGAGTGTCGAATAAAGTGTTTATTAAATCACGAGATTTTGAATCAATTATTTCTCATTCAAATTATACCGGTTTTTGTATTTGTATCACAAATTGTTAAATTTATGATTTCAATTGATGTCAAACATAGCAATAATTCACTATTGAGACAATGGCAAGCTTTTTTGACATGAATGTTGTCCCAATGCTGATAATCCTCGGGATGTGGGTTGTGATCATAGTATTGCTGTTGTTGTCGAACATGTATTCTCATAAGGATGTGCTCCAGACATACGATAAGTGCGAACCACGTGATGTCAAATTCAGATATTTAGTGAGACTTGTCATGAAACCTGTCGCCAGTGATGACCCAAAGTTCTACAATCACACCATAACCGCCAGAGTCCATGACAGCAGACAGATCTATGTGAACACATTTACTCTGAGAATGACAACCCTTTCAGGAATTCCTGATTTGAAGAAACAAAAGCGAGTTATGATTAGAATGATTGCCAACAGAAAGACTCAGATCAGAAATTTCCATACAGTTATGATCGACA